CCCCTGCAAGTGCCGCACGCCCAGAGCGCAGGCGGCCAATCCGCAGCGCTCCCAGGGCCGGCGCTCACCGTGCGCCATGTGCCCAGGGCCAGGCCAGCCCCGAGCACTTGGCGGGCGCATACAAATGCCCCCGCGGGCGCCATGGCGCCTGTGGGCACCATGTTGGGGACCACGGGTCTAGACCATCCCTGATAGACATTTATCTAACCTACCCTTAAATATCTCCACAGATGGAGATTCCACGAGCTTCCTAGGTAATTTATTCCCGTGTTTAACCACCCTGATAGTTAGGAACTTTTTCCTAATGTCCAACCTAATGACAGGAAGAGAAAGGAGGGGGGACATGAAGACCCAGTGGTGCCCCAAGTTTCCGGATGTCCTACGTCACTGCATATTCTGCGCATGGGTAAGCCCCTCCGCCCCGAGCCTGCCTGACCCCTGGGATAATCACGTGGCGCCCTGAAGCATGAAATTGGATCCTACGAAAGAGCCAGCAGCGAAGCCAATGTTAAAAGATGTGGTGTTGCAATGGAACACGCTGACAGTCAGAAGGAGGACCAGCAGAGGAGCATCTGATAACTTTAAACAGCAGCACAGTTTTTATGCCTGCTGGACCCTCCTGGCTTCTGGCTCTGAGTGGGGGGAAGGTGGGTTCGAATCCACCTTGCACTAGAACACGCCAGCGCCGTTTTACTGTGAAACCAAGAGGGCTTGTTACAGGGTCACGACACGCCCATGAGCTATTTGTATCATATAGAGGCATGTGAACATATCAAATATAAAAGCAGCTGGTTCCGTTCCTGCCTTGCGACAGTTGGAAAACCACATATCTATGATTCTTTGGGAGGGATGTTGTTTAATGGAAGCATGAGGCATGCCATAGTCTCCCTCATCCTACAGAGGGAGAAACTGAGGCAGAGGTTAGGCTTGCTCAAGGTTGCCCGGTGAGTAAGCGGGAGAATCAGAAATGAAAGCCGGTCCTACTTGCTCTAGCTACTAGACTGCACTCCCTCCCTGAAATTCAAGCAGCAGGCTCTTAAGGGTGGGGCATTGGCACAGCACCTAGCAGAACTGGGCCCAGCACCGGAAGGCCTGTGAGTGCTCCCCCAGTATGAACGTGAATATCTCTGCTGAAGCAGATGTGACTGGAACAGAGTCTCGCTCTAACGCGTGACTAGCATCCAGCTCGCGGCCGTGGCGCCTGCTCCCCGGATACACCGCGGCCTCGTGGGGCGGCGGGCGCGGCAGCACACGGGCGAGTGTTTCCTGGAAAGGGAAGGGGGTGGCCGTGAGAAAAGAAAGCGACCTGTATTCAAATCCAGTCGCTGCCACAAGGCAGGATGTGACAGACTGGCTCCCCTGCTGCTCCGCAGACTGCTCCCAGAGCTTCAGCGCTTGGCTCCCCATCAGATCAGCCTTCCGCTGCCTGGGCCGGTCCCTCGGGGTCTGACTGGGTTGCCTTGTATTCAGGTGCTTAACACGTCCTCCCCGGCTCACTCATTCTGCGAGACCGCTGCCATTCGAGACCGAGCCAGACACGG